AAATAACATGGCTAAACGTATGCGATCCGATGCAGTTCGATTATCTTCAGAAGATTATAAGTTTATTATGCAATATCAAGATGAAAAACCTAAATCTGACGTTTTAAAGAAGTTAAGAGAAAGATATTCTATGACAAATAACTGTTTTTATAAAATTTGGAGAGAACAAGAAGATAGTATAGTAGAATGGCATCAACCTATATCAAATTCAATGGTATCAATAAGACAGGATTTATCTATACTCGAATCGCACTTACCAGATATTAATCAAGTTAACATAGCTAAAAATTCTAGCTCCTTTAAAGTTGCTTCCAGCAATAAGCAGAACTCGATACTTCTAACACATCAAATCGATGAAAATACTTTGCATTTGAATTCTATTGTTACTTCTGATAAGCGGATTAAAAATAGAAAACCAAGATCTAGGGGTATAGCCCTATTGCAAAGCAATAAATTTGTACTAATTTCTGATTCATTTAATAGCGGAACTAGTGCAAGGCACATATTGTCAATAAGAGTGATATATCCAATACCTTAACAAAAAAAGCAGAAAAAGATGACCTATATACTTTAATTGAACGTGATCGTAAAGAATCAGAAGTAGTCGAATGTGGATCAGAAAGAATTTTAAATCTCAATTAATCTATCTTTGCTTTTTTTATTCCTATTAATATACATAAGATGAAGAACAAGCTCGAAGTAAACTGTGTAATTGCAACTCAAGATGATAGACCTTTAGTATCTGATCAAATTTCATAGAAGACAGATAATGAAGAGCTATGTGCTCCTGCGGGTTTTAGCCCTGATTCTGACAATTTAACTTTAGTGAAGCAAGTACCAAAGGTGCTAAGTATAAAATGCCATTTCTCTGAAATAAAAAAAAATGCATGAGCTATGAGGAGTTAGAAAAATTGCTATATGAGGTACTCGAATCCAAGATTAGATTAATCGAATTCAATAAAAAATTACAACTTCATATAAATAAGTCCAAGGAGGTTGCCAATAGTGATATATTA